ACTCTAGTTCCATCCAGGTTGCTGCAAAATTCATGATTTTGTTCTTTTTTATGGCTGTGTAGTATTCCATTGTGTATATGTATCACATTTTTTAAATCCAGTCTTCTTTTGATGGACAGCATGGTTGATTCCAGGTTCAAAATTTCTGATACATTTATTTTGCTTTCTGTGTCACAGTTTTCTCTTAATTATAACATATTTATTTATGCTATAACTTCAAAATGATTATTTTAATTAGTTACCTTACATGGGTATGTATTGGATAAGACCCTATAAAAGTATCAATTCTGATATACTCATTTAGTTCATATTTTTCTATTTATGCTTTTTAAAAATCAAGGATACCTGCATAATGAACATTTGTATACCTAACCCTGAATTGTCCCCCACATCTTTAAAGTAAAAAAAATTAAAAGAGAGAGAGAAAAAAAAGAAACTGGAATACAGAAGAACAACACTGTCAAATCAAATATAATCCTTTACCTCAAATAGTTTATAGAGCAGTGGTGATTACATTAAAATTCCATTTTCATTACCTTTAATCTTCAGAGGTTTTTAAATCTTCATAGAATACAAATTATATTTTGGAAGTTTAAAAACAGTCAATACTATACAAATTCTTTTTAGCTTCAATAATAGTTCTCCTTAAATAATCGTGATATCTTTCTTAATATTCCGAATATTGCTATTTCTAATATTGTTCTTTTATACTTTATTTGTGATTCTTCTTTTGGTCCCACAGCTCAATTTTTACATGGGATCGAGTGGACCAGAAATTTACATTTGACCTTTCATTCATTCAGCCCATTCATTCAGTAAGCATCTAATAAAAAACAGCTCTAAAGATACCAGTCATACCTATTATTTTCACTTGGCTCAGATGTCTTCCAAAATGTCTTGCCAGAGTTCTATCATTGGTGCAAGTTTGATGTGCAAAGGAGTTCTCAATGTTTATGTTAAAAGAGTTCTATAAGCATAGGAGACTACAAAAATACAACACGTCTTATCAAAAAAAAAAATCTTTAGTTTCCTTGTCCCAAGACTGTTTTCACTGTATTCTCTCCTTTTCTCATCCCTCAGGCAAGAATCCCAGGGTCCAAATATCCCACCTGCTTAGGGAATTAATCAAGCATTTCTTTCCAAAACAGAAGTGCTTTGTCTTTGATCGACCAACACATGACAAAGACCTTCTCGCCAATATTGAGAAGGTATCTGAAGACCAACTGGACCCTAAATTCAAGGAACAAACAAACATTTTCTGTTCTTACATTTTTACCCATGCAAGAACCAAGAACCTCAGAGGGGGTATCACTGTCACTGGGAATCGTGAGTCTCCTTTCCATATTTTTGTGGGATCTAATGTATGTTGAATATATTGTATAAATGTATGCTGAATGTATTGTGTAATGGGTTTCTCAGCATTTTTGTGGGAGTCCTTATAGAAATATGTATATACAGATATTCATACTCCATGAAAAAGTGTGTATATTTTATAATTATCTCACTTTTGGGGGTGTACAAATTCTTCTGCTGAATTGAAACTTTGTTATTGATAGCTGCAGCTTCCACATAGCTTTAAAAATCCTTCATTGATAATGAAATCACTAACCGGGAATAAAAACAGATAGATACTATTTTCCCAGGGGGAATTCTCTATGTTAAATATTATTTACAATAGTAGACAAAAGATATTTTGGAAGTTTAAAGAAGTCTAGAAATGAACATTAGCCCATAAGTTCCTGAAAATTCATTGGTAGATTCAGAATTAGGAATCAATGTAATCTGATTTACCCTGCCTTATCATTATATTTGTGTAATTTATTTTCCTTTTAATTTTACATGATAAATTGCATTTCCCATATACCAGTTAGCATGTTAGATAAAAGTAGATTTTTAAATTTTTAAAACACTGGGGCTTGAAGAACCATAAAAATACAGAAAGTCAATAGGAAAGTGATGATAGTAGAAGGAAGTAGTGGTGTGTGTGTGTGTGTGTGTGTGTGTGTGTGTGTGTGTGTGTGTGTGATTTTAGAAATGTGTTCTCATGCTGCCCATCAAAAGAGAACTGTATTTAAAAATGTACATATACACAGTGGAATATTATGCAACCATAAAGAAGAACAAAATCATGAACTTCACGGCAACTTGAATGAACTTAGAGTCTGTAATACTGAGTGATGTATCACAGAAACAAAGAACTGAGTATCACATGTTTTCACTCATAAGTGAACTTGAACAACTATCGTAATACTATAAGAAAAGGATTGGCAGTAGGGGGAACCTGCAGGGAGTAGAGGGGTGGGGAGGTGGGATTGGCAGCAGTGGGAATCTGCCTGGGGAAAGGGGAGCACACTTCATCAACAAGAGTACCTACATAATAAACATTTGTATACCTAACCCTGAATTGTATCCAACATGTTTAAAATTAAAAAAAAATTAAAAGTTAAAAAAAAAAGTGGAACTCAGGTGCTAAGAAAGCACATTAAACAAAATAAGAAAAAAAAATTGATAGAATTCACTAGTGAAGCCATCTGCCCTGAAATTTTCTTTGTGGTTAAATTTTGTAACTTATTTGGCTTTGTTTTGTTTGTCAGTTGGTTGGTATTTCTTATTGAACAAGAGTATTTATTATTTATTAATGCCTGGTTAATCCACTGCTGGGTGTTGTACATAATTAAAAAATATAATTTTCTTTCTCAGAAGTTTACCATTAAAGTATTAAGTAGAACAGTTAATTGCTGAATGGTTTAGGATTATTTAAATTCTCTGTTTTATTGTGCCTTTTTGGTAAGGTACATTTTCTATACAATGTACCCATTTTATCAAACTTGTAGAATATGTCTGTATCGTGTCATACTTATCTTTTTTATTTCCCTAGCAAAAACCATATTTTATTCTTGGGGAAAAAAAAAAGAATTGTGTTCTTAGAGCTTTAGACTCCAGTGAGTTATAATTTCATATTAATCCCCTGAATTTCCTGGTTTATTCAGGACTAGGGACTCTGGTGATGACCTACGTGGATGCCATCAACAGTGGAGCTGTACCTTGTTTGGAGAATGCGGTGACAACTCTAGCCCAGCGTGAGAACTCAGCAGCTGTGCAGAAGGCAGCTGAATACCACGGTCAGCTGATGGCCCAACAAATGACATTCTCCACAGACACACTCCAGGAACTGCTGTATGTGCATGCAGCCTGTAAGAGGGAAGCCATTGCAGTCTTCATGGAGTGCTCCTTCAAGGATGAAAACCAGGAATTCCAGAAGAAGCTTGTGGTAATTTGTCTTAGTTATGACTCTTCATAACCTTTCCGCCTTGACGAATGAAACCTAAAGGTGACTTTTTGGACCCAAGGCTCATCTCTCACTCAAGAATGAAGTATTTTGGATTCTCATGAGGGATAGAGAAAGACTACACATCTGTCTTTTTTGGCAACATTGTATCCAGAAATCTTTATAATCACTGAAGTAAAATTAATATATGAATATCCTCCTTAAATGAATACTTCTGCATATTTCAAGCCTGACCAGCACACTCACACATCATCCCTGAGCCATTCACTTTTCCTGTGCACATCCTGCCTTTCATAGGAACCAAAGTTTCACTTACCAGACCCTCATTCAGGCTAGTTCAACTTACACTGCTCTTTGTTGTATCACTGTATTATTGAAGATATATTCAGCTGCCAGAAACATAGACATTGTGAAGTGCAATCTTGTCATTTCATATATAAGGGACTTGAGGCCCAGGGAGGTTAAGAAACTTCTCCCATAGTCTTGCAGAGAGTTTTCAGGGTTGTGAATGCATGAAGTTTTGTGATTTCTGATGTATTCCACTTCCTACTCTGTAAAAATGCTTTTCTCATGAAGACTACAGTGAAATTGACCTTTCCATTATATTGTTTGGAATTTTATCTTCTCTGTTTCTTTTTTCTGATGATGTTGCCATACCTTACTCTTGCAGGAAATCATAATGAGTAAGAAGAAGAATTTCTTGTTGCAGAATGAAGAGTCATCTGTTAAATACTGCCAGGTTCAACTCAACCAGCTCTCAAAGGAACTAATGCAAAATATTTCAGCAGGAACTTTCTCTGTCCCTGGAGGGTACAAGCTTTACATGGAAGAAAGGGAGAAGACTGAACAAGACTATTTGCAAGTGCCCAGGAAGGGAGTAAAGGTGAGGAGAAAGGGGCTCATGGGGAAGCTTATAGAGTACAGAGAATGGAATCTTCTGCACCAGTCATGAATAATAAGAGAGCAGAGGGATAGTATGACACCTTAGCTTTTAATGTCACTATTTACCATTCATTTGAGACTAGAAATGTTTGTTCCCAAAGAAAGAGCATGGTTTTTAAAAATCAGGAAAAATGAGAACAAAAATTATTCATATGCCCAATGCCAGCAATTTACATCTTCAAGTCAGAGTTTTTGCACTCAAAGCTGATCAAAATAAGAGAGAAAAAAATAGAAAATTACATACAGAGTAATTACATTTATGGGCCTGTAAAAATGGGTTGCATAATTGGTGACTGTAAACATAAAATAGCCATAATGCAACTAACATATTGGACTGTTTTTGCGTGTAGGCATACTGTTAAACTCTTCCAACAGACTTTTACTTTAATCTTCCAAATGACTTCAAGAAGCATCTGCCCTTAATTTTGAAATTTTACATATCTGAATTTAGTGGCCTAGGTAGATTAAATAAACTACTGAAAAAGTTCAGCCAGCAAGTGGCAGGAAAGGGCAGTAGCATCAATAACAGGCAGGCTTTCACAGTGGAAGGCAAACATATAAAAGCATCAGAGATTGTGTTTGTACAACTGCACATGGTTCTGACTGGCTGGAACCCAGAACAGGTGGAGGGAAGGAGCACCAGGAGAGAGACTGCAGGGAGACAGGAAGCAGGAGATGAGGAGAGGCTCTGGTCCCATTAAGGAGCTTACAAATTTATAGGGAGCCATTATAGAATTTTAAGCCTTAAGAAAAAATTACAAAGACAAAGAAATCTAACTTTCTTGCTTCTTCTTGGTTCCACAGGCAAGAGAGGTCTTCCAGAGTTTCCTGCAGTCACAAGCAACAATAGAGAAATCCATCCTGCAGGCAGATAAAGCCCTCACTGATCAGGAGAAGGCCATAGCTGGTATGGGGGCAGGGCTCTTCTTACAGCAGGGTGGGAAAGTTCCTGCAGTGCCCTCTGACAGATCCAACAGGAAGACCTTCTCCAAACAAGGAGCTTCTTCCACTTCTGAGGGATACATACTTTGCTAAATGTGAAAATAACAGGCAGAGCTGTGATTGTCCATCAACCAGACAGGCAAGGTCATTCCATCATATTCTGAAATGTGCTCTAGATGGTGTGGACCTGGGTGAATTCTGTGATTTCCCAAATTTAATTTGGTCCCTGAGCTCAGAAGACTAGAGATTAATCATCATTTCTTATTTTCTTCTCTTTCTAAAAACTTCATTGGACAGTGGAATGGGTCAAGAAAGAGGCAGTTGACAAGGAACAGGAAATTTTAGGACAGAAACTACAAGAACAACAGCAGCAGATGGAGGCTCAAGAAAAGAGTCTAAGGGAAAACATAGCCCAACTGAAAGAAAAGCTGGAGATGGAAAGAGAATATCTACTGAGAGAGCAGAAAATGATTTTGGAGCATAAGCTGAAGGTAAGTCTGTCCATGGCTTCAGTAGGCCTGATGGTCCCTGCCCTGGTACTTCAGGATGATCTGGTGAAAGTAACAGCAATGAAATGGAATGAAGCACCATCACTGTTTACTGCTCATTCTTCAAAGACTTGAATCCTTTTTTTTATTTCTTTAGAGAGGCTTTGAATTCTGTTCGATACTTAGACTCTGGAGAGTTTGGTATGATTATGGCCCCTACAGGTCCTTGGAGAATATAGAGTTAGAACTGCTGTTTTGGGATATTTTAAAATGATGTCATCAGGACCTGATAAACAGATATTCAAATCAAGTGTATTCAATTAAGCAGCAACTCGCTTTGCTTTACCAAATCTGCATGTCATCAGGCAAGCTACTATCATCCAAAGACCCTGAGGCAGATAGTTTACGTAAAACTATCAGAAATTTGCAGATTAAAGGCACAGGGAAAGCAAAGCTTCTAAATTTGTTGCAGTTGTCTCCATGTGTGGATAGCCTTTCAAATTAGCTCATGGTATAGGAGGAATTCTCACATTGTCCATCTGGAAGTTCTCTTACAAGAAATTTCTAGTTCAGCATATAAGTTCTTCTTATTTCTATGATGTGAGTGGCCATGCCACCCAAGTGAGACTAAGTATTTATACAATTAGACAAGTGGCTACCTCCCAGCTGGCATTTTGGGGGGGCAGGAACAAGTAGCATTTGTCCTCGTTACTGGGTTAGCATCCTAGTAAAACCGTAATGATGTAAGAATGTTAGTAAAGTTGTAAACTGTGCTTCCTCAAAATGTCTAGGTCCAACTCAGAAGTTATTCTTTGCTGCCAAATTCTCCTTTGATAATTGAGAAAATATTTCTAGGTGTAAAATAAAGGCAGTGTGACAAAATGATTAAATATAAAATATAACTTATTAAAGAATGGGGAGTTTAAAAAATTTATTTCCTTTCTGATTTTTTCCTTTAGGTCCAAAAGGATTTGCTTGAGGAAGGATTTAGGAAGAAATCTGAGGAGATGAATGCAGAAATAAATCAATTGAAAAACATGATTGAAACTACAAAAAAGGATGACACTCCTTGGATTCCACAAGCCTTGAATAGATTTGTCGATGAGATAACTTCAATTTTATCTGCTCCTGCTAAATTACTTGGTCATTGTTTCAAAGATTTAGGTTCACTATTTAAAAACATTAGCTCTTCTTCTAAGGAAATTATAGAAGGGGATATATGCTCTGACTTATTTTTGGTGTTTCTGTTTTTAATTTTAATTTACCAAAGTTTTAAACATTAAAAATGCTTATTGGAGTATATCAGTGCCTGGCCCACATGAAATGGAACAAATGCATGCACAATTTGAAACACCGTAAGCAACTTTAGAAAATATAAATTTGAGAAATCATTTATATATAGGAAGTCAATTTAGGCATTGCTTTTAATGGCAAAATATTGGAAAGTACTTGAGTGTTCTCCATATAAGATTGGTAACATACATTTTAATATGCGCATAGACTAGAATATTATGTAACCAGTAGAATTGACCATGGGGCTCTACTTGTACAGAATGATCCTGAATATATATTATAAAGTGAAAAAAGAAGATAAAGCAAAGCATTGTAAATCGCCTGATCTCTAAGCAAAGCAAAAAACACAATCATTGTATGCAAGCAAGCAAATATATACATAAGATACTTCTGGAAAGATTAATAAAAAAATCTATTATTGGCTCCTTCGGAGATTAACCAGATAGAATCAAGAGTTGAAGGGACACATGATTTTCTTTCTTTCTTTCTTTCTTTGAGTTGGAGTCTCACTCTGTTGCTCAGATCGGAGTGCAGTGGCTGCTCCTGGCCACCACAGCCTCGCCTGCTGGGCTCCGGTGACCCTTCTGCCTCAACCTTCCAAGTAGCCGGAATTACAGGCATGCGCTACCACGTCTGGCTGATTTTTTGATTTATTGTAGAAATGAGGTCTCACCAAGTTGCCCAGGGGGTCTCGAACCCGCAGGCTCAGGCAATCCGCTCACCTCGGCCTCCCAAAGTGCTGGGATTACAGGCTGAGCCACCGAGCCCGGCCATAATTTTCATTATTTGCTCTATCTTTTGAATTTTGTAAAAGAAATTATTTTACCTATTTAGAAATATGTAAGAAAATGTAAGCTATAATACTACTAATTATTATAATAATAATAAAGGAATGCGCAATTGACTTTTAAGTGATGAAATATTTATTGCTCTTAGGGATGTCATCAGCCAGCTCAAAAAGGGATCTAAGTCTAAATATGATTATTAGAATGCATAAAATTTGCATCTTATTTTTGTTTTCATTTGGCCTTATTTTTTTAACTCATTATATGTTTCAAAATAAAGATATGAACCTCTCCATGACCCTTGAGATTTTAGCTAAAGTAGCCTCTATTTTCCCTATCTGAATTACAGCTTTTAGGTGCTAGAAGTACAAATGACCAAACCTTAAGATTAAGCACTGGTGAGAGGGATCCTGCCATCCTTGTAAATTCAGTGGTGCGGTAGGCCTGGATAGAGCAGATAATGTGCTTTTCCAGAACAAAACCCCCTGATGAGGAATGAAAGATGATGTTGGCCCTTAATCATTAGAATCTCAGTAGATTCAGTTGTAATAATGAGTGGCAAACAACTAGGCATAACCAGAGAGAATCCTGAATATGGTCAATAGAATATGTCATCCATGGAGTCAAATAGGATGAGAAGAAAACAATCAAACGAAACCAAGAATGTTTACCAGGAGGTCGAGAAGTAGCCCCAGTAAAGTCTCACATCAATAGCCTTGACCTGAGATAATTTCAGATCCTGAACTTATCAGCTGGAGCAAAGGACAGGACTCCAGGAAAAGGGACATTGCAACTTCATGGCAAGAACAAATAATGATTGAACTCTGGCCATTTACTAGGTATCTGTGTACTGGGAAAACAGAAATGCTCAAACATTTCATAGACTCTTGGAATCAGGATCCAAGTTGCCGGTGGTACCCAGATCCCGGAAGGACATTGTAAACTGCCTGTTAAAATAGGGAGGTAGTGCATCCAGGCAATAAATATACTTTTGTCCCAGGTACACTTTATTGGGTGATAGTATTTTTTTAATTGAAGGGTAAATTTTATTTGAGAACAGATGCTATAACTTTTTTTGAACATCCCCTCAGAGTATGTTCAGACACAGAATGTGCTAAATAATCATCTGTTATAAAAACAATAGGATAATGCATGCATGATTGTTTTCAATGAGTACAATTCCATGATCCCTCCAAAGATTCATGGTATTAGATAGTTTGGATTTTAGACATCAGTTTAAGTTCTCCAAGGTGGTTTAAAGGTTGGCAGAGGAAGAAGAACTTTCCTAGTGTAGTATCCTTCTCTGAGATGTCACATCTCACAATCTCTGGAAACTGGGTTAAAAAAATTAAAAAGTAGTAATTACTAAAATAAATTGCCAGTTGAATGAAATAGAATAAAAAAGAAGTCATAGAAAGGATGAATAGACAAAGAGATCGTTCTTTGAAAGGATAAATATGATTGGCACACTCCTGGCCAGATTGACAAAAGGCGGGGGCTTCCAAATAAACACAATAAGAAATGAAAAAGGCAATGTCACAACTGACTCCGAAGAAATTCACATGATTATCAGAAATCACTAGGAACATCTGCATGCAAATAAGCCAGAAAATCTAGAGGAAATGCAGGAATTCCTGGCACCATATAAACTATCGAGTTTAAAACAGGAATAAATTTAAAACCATAGAAAGACCAATAACAATTCAGGAAATCAACTCAGTTATAAGAAAACTTTTGGCCCAAAACAGCCCTGAACCAGACAGTTTCTCTGATGAATTCTGCAAGATGTACAAGGAAACACTGATACAGATCCTATTGAATGTATTCCAGGCAATCAAGAAAGAATTATCTCTAGTTCATCGTATGAAACTCATTATATGAACATCATCCTGATACCCCAAATTGGGAAGACCCAACAAGGAAAGAGTACTACATACCAAATTTTCCTGGTAATTTCCCAATTTTGCACAGATGCAAACATTTTCAACAAGATTTCTAGCAAATCATTTCCAACAACACATTTGAAGAATCATCCATCATAACCAGGTGGGCTTCATTCCTGGGATACAGGGCTGATTCAACATATGTGAGTCTACAAATATAGTCCATTCCATAAACAGGTGCAAAAACAAGAATCACATGATTATCTCATTAGATGCAGAAAAATAGCATTCAATAAAATCCAGCATCCTTTCTTGATAAAAACACTCAGGGACCTAGGCATCGAATGAACATTTCTCAAAACAATAAGAGCCATCTATGACATACCTGGAGCCAACAACATGCTTAATAGGCAGAAGCTGGAAGCATTCTCCCTAAGAACTGGAATAAGAAAGGAAGCCCATTCTCACTTCTCCTATTTAACATAGTACTGGGAGTTCTAGTCAGAGCAATCAGGAAGGAGAAAGAAATCAGGAGTACTCAAATAGAAAATGAGAAAGTCAAGTTATCCCTGTGTACAGATGATATGTTTCTATACCTAGAAAATCCTAGAGAGTTTGTCAAAAATCTTATTGCACTGATAAATGACTTTGGTAAAGTTCTGGGATACAAATTAATGCACAAAAGACAGTTGCATTTTCATATACCAACAATAAGCAGGCTGAGAATCAAAAACAGAATCCTATTCACAATAGCCACACAAAAAATAAGATTCCTTAACACCCACCTATCCAAAGAAGTGAAAGACTTTTATAAAGCACTGCAAAACACTGCTCAAAGGATCAAGGACAACATGAACAAACAAACTTACAAAAATCACCTGCTCATAGGTTGGAAGAATCAGTATGATCAAGATGTCCATCCTACCCAAGGTAATCTATAGATTCAATGCAATCCCTAACAAATTGCCAATGTAATTTTTCACAGACCTAGAAAAAACAATACAGAAAAAATGGAAGCAAAAAAAAATTATGAATAGCCAAAGCATTCCTCAGCAAAAGGAATAAAGCTGTAAGTATCACACTTCCAGACTTTAAATTATATCACAAGGCTACAGCAACAAAGACAGCATGGTACTGGTACAGGAATAGACATATACAGACCAATGCAACATGACAGATACTCCAGAAATAAAACCATGGTTCCTCAACCAACTCATCTTCGACATAGCCATCAATAACAAACATCAGGGAAAGAAAACCATATGTAGCAAATGGTGCTGGGAAAACTGGCTAACTACATGCAAAAGAATTAAATTGGATTCCTAGCTATCACCATATACAAAAAGTAACTCAAAATCAATCAAGGACTTAAATTTAAAACCTCAAACTATAAGAATACTAGAAGAAAACTTATGAAACGCCCTTCCTGGACATCGGAGAAGGCAATGAATTCATGACCAAGTCCTCAAAAGCATATGCAGCAAAAGCTAAAATGGACAGGTGGGATCTTACCAAACTGAAAAGTTTTTGCACAGTAAAAGAAACCATCAAGAAAGTAAAGAGACAACTCAAGGAATAGGAAAAAATATTTGCAGGCTATGCATCTGACAACACTCTAACAATCTGGGTCTACAAGGAACTCAAACGAATGCAAGGAAAACAAACAACCCCATTAAAAAGTGGGCAAAGGACATAAACAGACATTTTTCAAAGGAAGACATACAAGTAGACAACAAACATGAAAAACATTCAGCCTTACTAATCATCAGAGAACTGCAAATCAAAACTCCAATGACATATCACCTAATTCTGGTAGAGATGGCTGTCATTAAAATATCAAAAATAATAGGTGCAGGCACAGATGTGGAGAAAAGTGAACACTTCTACACTGTTAGTGGAAATGTAAGTTAGTTCAAACTTTGTGGAAAGCAGTGTGGCAATTTCTCAAATAACTAAAATTGAGCTTCCATAGGATCCAACAGTCCCTCTCCCAGGAATATACAGAAGGATCATACATCAGTGTACCAAGAAGATACCTACACACATGTTTATTGCAGCACTATTCACCATAGCAAAAAAGTATGAGACCTATCCAGAGGCCTATCAAAAGTGGACTGGACTTTTTAAAATGTGGTATATATACACACTGAAATATTATACAGCCATAGAGAAGAACAAAATCATGGCTTTAACGGCAACGTGGATGCAGCTGAAGACCATTATACTAAATGAACTATCACAGAAACAAAGAACTGATTACTCCATGTTCTAACTCTTAAGTGAGCCCTGCTCTCTGGTCGCATGAGAACAAAGGTAGGATTGGCAGATGCTGGACACTGCTAGGGGAGGGGGCAACACAATGGGTACCTGATCCACTCTCAGGGGGTAGAGCCCAACTAGAATCCTGACTTCACCTGCATGCAACTTACTTATGTAGTAAATCCTCACTTGTAACCCAAACTCTAAACTTTAAAAGAAAAATTAAAAAGACTTACATGTAAGTCCTAAAATGGCAAAATTCATAGAGGAAAACATAGGGTAAAAGCTTCTTGACATTGGTCTTGTCAGTGATTTAGATATGACACCAAAAGCCCATGCATCAAAAGCAAAAATAGATATGTGAGACTTCCTGAAACCAGAAAGCTCCTGCACAGCAAAGAAAATAATTATTAATAGAAAAGACAACCTAGGAAATAGGAGAAATATTTGCAAGCCATATATTTAATAAGGGGTTAATACCTGTCTTAGTCTATAAAGAAATACTTGAAGCCAGGTAATTTGTAATGAAAAGAAGTTTTTTGATTCACTGCTTTGCAAGCTGTATAAGTAGCATGCCACCAGCATCTGCTCTGATGAGGAACTCAGGGCAGAAAACATATGCAGATCACATGGCAATGGAGGAATAAAGAGAGAAAGAGGAGGTGCTGGGCTCCTTTCAATCACCAGCTATCTTGGGAACTAAGAGTAATAACTTGCTCCCACAGAAATGGCACAAGCCATTTATGAGGGCTCTAACCCACGATCTAAGCATCTCACACCAGATGCCATCTCCAACATTTGGAATCAAATTTCAGCATGAGACTTAGCTGGATCAGACAAACCATAGCACTACCCAAAGTACATGAGAAACTTATACAAGGCAATAGTAAAACACCAAATAAACTGATTAAAAATAGGCAAATGACATAAATAGACAAATTTTCAAAAAGACATACAAATAGCCAACAGGTGTATGAAAAGGTGTTTGGCATCACTAATCATCAGGGAAATGCAAAAGAAAATTATAACAACATATCCCCTCACATTTGTTAGGATGGCTATTATTAACGAAGCAAAAGTTCATAGGTGTTGGTGAAGGTGTGGAAAAAAATGAAACCTTTGTACACTGTTGGTAAGAATGTAAACTGGTACAGCCGTTTTGGAAAATAGTATGAAGGTTCTTTAAAAAGACAGAACTACCATATGATTTAGAAATCGCACTTCTGGATATATATCCAAAGGCAATGAAATCAGTATTTTTAAGAGATATTCTATCTCCCATGCTCATTGTAGCATGATTTATAACAGCAAAGATATGGAAACAACCAAAGTTAATTGAGGGATAAATGAATTTTAAAAATCTGATTGGGAGGCTGATGAAAGAGGATTGTTTTAGGCCAGGAGTTTGATACCTGCTTGGTTGAAAAAGGGAGACCTTATCTCTTTAAAAAAATGCACAGTATAATTAAATATTATTCAGCCATTAAAAATAAAGAAAATCCTGTCATTTTGTGAAAACATAGACAAACCTAAAGGACATTATGCTAATAAAACAAGCCAGACACAGAAAGACAATCATTGTATTAGCTCACTTAATGTGGAATTTAAAGAACCGGAACTCAGAAACAGATTATGGAATGTGGTTGCCAGGGGCTGGGGATTTGGAGGAAATGAGGAGATATTGATCAAAGACTATAAACTTTCAGTTATCAAATAAAAACTGGGTATTGAATGTAGAGTATTGCTACTATAGTTAACAATACTCTATTGTTTACTTGAAATTTGCTCAAAGAGTAGATCTTAAGAGTCCTCACTACACACAGGCCACACACACACATCAGTGATAACTATGTGTGGTTACAAGTGTGTTAATTAATGTGATGTAGTAATCATTACACAATATATCCCTATACCAAATTATAAAGCTGTGCACCTTGAATAACTACAATTTTATTTGTCAGTTATATCCCCATAAAGCTGGGGAAAAAAAAAACAACTAAAAATATCAAGTAAAGACAATTGTATAAAAATTGATCAATTTTACAAAATAAGTACATTTTAACTCAACATCAGAAAGCTCAGGATATAAATGCATATTAATAAACAAATATTCCAATCAAATGTGATGGTAGCTTTATACCATATATTAAAATAAAAAATATTAAAACTTTCTATTTGAAATTTATATCCTGATATTATATATTTCTCAGAAAAAAACTGCCATCTTAGTAATCTATTTTTGATAGAGCTATAAAATGAATCTCTGACGTTTAGCTGTTGTCATCAAGTTTTACTATCATATTGTCAAAGACCAATTTCACGCAAACCTATTGATGAAAATGAAACTGATACTTTTAATTTCTTTTCCACCAACAGAGGACATTCTAGGCAGTGAAAAACAGTCAGCAAAACTGTATTCACAAGCATTCTAGTAAAACAAATCCTATCAGTGCAGGTGGTAACAGGCGTAGCAGAAGAGTGATTTGATTACATAATTATTGTTCTGTAGTTCAATACAATGGAATGACTCCGATTCATGCTTTCTTCCCTGAATTCTCGCGTATACTAATTCCCATATGAGAGGAAGTATCCAAACAGGAGGTAAAGCTGGAAAAATGAGAGAAAATATTTGTAGCAATCGTTAGCTTTTAAAATATTGTTGGTGGTTACGATTTCTTTGCTCATTTAAAATAAATACTTTTGATTCGCATGTTTGTATTATTCTATTCAAAGCAAACAGGCCAGTTACATAAACTACAGTCCTCCCGTATTCTGTATCCATGCTAGCAAGGTGCAACTAGAAGAATATGCTACAAAAGAATATGTGATTACATCAAGTATACGAAATTAAGGTAGTATGTATTATATAGACTCAGTATTTTATCTGAAGAAATTACTCATTTAATATCAATGTTTTTAAAATAGAAAAGAAAAATGAGCAAATCAGTCAAACAAACAACAGCAAACTTCTTGCTCACAGAAGTACCCCGACAGACAGGCTGCTGAAATACTCAAGCCCCCGTCACCTTGTACCTTCCGGCCTGCTGTTCTATATTGATTTGAGGGTCAAGGACACCCAAGCCAACTGGGAGGGCGGGACGCGCCTGGGTTTTCCAAGCCGGTGTGGAACGACGGTCATGGTCCCCTTGCTTCATCCTCCCGCTCTCCAGACTCTCCAGACTCGGTTAAAAAAAAAAAAAAAAAAGTGACACTCCACACCAGTTAAATCCACGAAAGATCGCGGAGTTTCGATTTCGTTTCTCCTTATCTCAACCCTGATTTGCACGGCTGTCATATCCGGTTTGTTTTTCAGTTTCGAGTAAGAACTGCGGTTTCCCAAAAGCCAGACGCAGGAGGAGAGGGCAGGGAGGGGTGCCTGAGGGCGGCTGAGAACTTGTCCCCTGGCTGCAACGCCCAGACAGGTGAGTTCGCTCCTGAACTTGGTCTCCCAAGAACATTTCTAGTAAGTCATCAGGGGAAATTACTTGACAAAAAATTCCCAAGCGCAGCCTCCACACTGGCAGGTGGGCGAAGGCAGCAGCAGAAAGATGGCGAGAGTTGCCTGCAGGTATGTGGCGCCGGCAGCGCTGTGCTGCAGGCAGTTGTGTGTTCCCCTCTGATCCAGAGGCCTTTGGGAGGCGGGCAGCGTTTGTCTGGTGTGCTCAGGATGCTGTGGCTCCTTCTCGGGCTTCCATCCGGGGTTGCAGCAAAGAACCATGCCAGGGACACGGTGTGCATCCTATTCTAACTTGGGAAACGGGGATTCGAACTCCTTTTTCGGATTGAGAAACCTCAGTCTGTGTCCTAGCTGAGTCGCTCTGGAGTCCCTCGCTCGACCTCTTTTCTCGCCTCCTCAGACATTTCCCCACAGCCCCCTGCTGCATTTTGGAAAAACAGAGAGAAAAGACAGTGCTTACCCTACAATTTAAGTCCTAAAGATTGTTGTTAAATATTCCAGAGATTCTGCAAAGCTGTATTTAATATGGAATAATTTATCACTCCCTAATCAACTGTCAAAAATAACTGTCTAAACCTGTTTGCTTATTCCACACTGTTTCTAAATGCTTGGTAACTACTTTTGGTAATTACTTTGCTAATTATTTTCATTGTTAGGTTTTTTTTTTTTCCTCAGCTTTCTCTGTTTAAATAAGAACTGTCATCGCTGCTTTTCAACTTCTATAAAGTAGTAACAAAAGTGAGAGAATGAAAGGAAGAAAGATAAGTGAGAAATAACGAAACATTGTTCTTCAGCACACGAACTTGATTATTTCAAATAAAACATTTATTTTGAGGAAATAATTCTGAGTTACAGAGATTGTTTAAGATTGTAATGAGATCCAATAAACCTTTCACTTAGATTCACCGTAATGTTATTTTGTGATATTTACATTTTCTCTTTTTAAATGTGTATATATAGCTTTATAAAATTTACATTCTTATAGTGATTTTTACTTGGGAAAGTAAGTAGCCATGGCCCTTAAGCACAAAAAGTTCGGCATATATTCCTAAAACTCCTCTTGTATTCCTTCATTGGATCTGCCTCATTCCCACAGCTGCATCTTCTCCAACTCTGGCTCCTGTTCCCATCCCTCTACTTCATTGGTGCTCAGTGAGGCCACCCCTGGCCTCCTGCTGACTATTGCAGTGAGCTCTACAGGCATTTAATACTGCCAGCCCCTCTTCTGGATGCTCACTCTGTTCATCTTGTCTTCTGCAACCCCACGCTCTCCCAGGGCTGCTATTCCCTCTTAGTGGTACCAAGGCTTATCCTCTTTTATATTCTGAAGCTAAATTGAGTCATCTCAACACTGGCTGCAATTACCCATCCACGCAAATTTTTCTCAACCCTAATCAATCACATGGACATATCTCCTCAATTTGACAAATGTTGATTGTTGCGGGCCCAACCTAGGGACTGACAGATGACAAGATAGACATGGCATCTACCTCTCCTGCACTTAAGAGTTTAATGGAGATAATTACAGATGTGATTAAAAAGTGAATATAATCAGTGCTGTGTTGTCTAGTGGCTTCCTAGTTCATGATGGTTACTGAGAGACACATATAGCTGCCCCCTACAAAAGAAAAATTTGAGATACTAGAAAATTCTAAAGAGTTTATTTGAGTAAGAAACAATTCACAAATCAGGGAACAACAGAACAAAAGATATTTGGTGTTTCGATGACAAAACATTGGAGGCAAACATTTATTGGGAAAATGCAGACACAAAATAAATTGGATTGGATTGCAATTACAAGATAGCCTTTTAAAATTGCTTTTAAAAAGCTTTCCAGCTTTTTTTCCCCCATAGGTAGAAAGTTCTTAGTTACATAATCATGTGTTAGCTGCTTGTGATTGTTATGTTTCTATCTGACGTAAGCATTTACCAGAAAATTACTCAAGTTAGGTTTCACTTATGTTTACAGTTTAAGCAAGGTTAAACCTCTTTATAAGGCCTATTTGGTCTTGTTTGCACTGAAATTTTTCTTGGTCTCCATTTTAATTTTACTTTAACACTCCTAATATCCATCCTGCCGTACTAATAAAACACCAGCTTGTTTGCTGTATAAATATTTTTTCCAGAATACTGCCAGCAATTCTAGCTTACCCAGTGGCTGAGTATGATAATGTGACTAATAAGATCTATTAGTCTTTAAACGGAAGTGACACATCCTTAAAAGATGCTATCTTAGAACTTGGATTGCCACTTAGAGATTGAGATATTATATGAAAGAAGGGTCCTATGCCCCAATCATTTATGAAACAACTCCATCCTACCAGCTGTGGACTACTAACTGAAATTTATGGGAGAGCATAGTCTTTGTAAATTATTTGTAAGCTATTTTTTTTCCTGATTATCACAGCTAAACCTAATTCTTCTGTTGTCATTAATCTAGCATTACTTTGGGGCCAGGGATTAATGCCTAAAGTTATTTTATTCCAGGAAACATGCACAGTTTCAGGCATATAGTAGATGCTCATTCAATGCATTTAAATAAGTAAAGGCAATATTAATAGAACTGGGTATCAAGAAATAAAAACTTGAGCACATACCATTCAAAAATCCAAGGTGAGCTGGAACCCTGGATGGAGCGCCAAACATTCATGGGAGAGAGCCCCATCTAGAAACCACTGAGTGGTTTGTGGAAGGAGGGCCTGACTCTAGGACCTGTACAGAAATAACAGGAGCCTGTCACATCACACTAATGCTTAGAGAGTGTGGTGTTGTTAAAGGAGTATCTATAGAGTGCCCCTATAGTTTACTGGTCAAGGAGCACATGGGTAATCAATGTTGAGAAAGATTATTCTGCCACATTAAGTGGTTGAAAACATGGCATGGTGAAACAGACTGCCCTGCTTTCAAATACGAGGACTACCACTTTTTCTCTGTTAGAAATTTGAGCAAATCTCTTAGTCTTTCTGAATTTCGTCTAATATATCTGCAAAGTGGGCAAAATAAGCCCCAATATTCAAAGCTCTTATAAATATCAACGAAGTCAAGTATATAATGTACCTATCACAAAACTCAGCACAATGTAGACTCTCAATGCATAATAACCATTGCTCACATTTTATTCTTATGATGAAAGTACAACTTTGGACTGGTAATTGCATTACTACTAATGTCAGAGATTATGATGAAGGAAGCCCTCTGTGGTTTCATGAGGTTATCTTACATTTTATGCCTTAGAAGAGTATAGATATCTTACCAGCCCTCTGATGATGAGCACATGAATTGATTAATCTTGAGGCAGGGAAAGAAATCCACTTGTGATTTTATTTCTACTGAGAGACTCTTTGGGGTTGGCAGGTACCATGGCATCCGGACCCATCATGCTGGTCCCCCTGTGTCTGGTGGAAAACAAGAATGAGCAGCTGTGTGTGAACCAAAAAGCCTTGAAGATTCTTTACAAGATTTCTCAGCCTGTGGTAGTTGTGGCTATTGTAGGACTGTGTTGTACAGGAAAATCCTATTTGATGAATCGTCTTGCAAGAGAAAAGTATGGTAAGTGAGGTTCCATGGCAGGGCTATTTACTTCAACCCACCTATATCTGAGCTTCTTACTCCTCCTCCAGAGTTACATGAAAGGAGACTCCAAATCTCTTGTTAAACCGATCTTCTAATTCTCACAAGCAAAACTGTAATCTTCCCTCTTCCTGTATCTAGTTATTTGATTTACACTTGTTATTTCAACTTCTTATAAAAGGAAAATCTCCCATGCCAGTGCTATTAATCTCATCTTTTCTTAACTGCTTAGGCACTGAATACTTACAATGATCCCTCATATCATGTTTTACTTTCTCTACTAGATAATCCCTATTAACTAGTCAACATGCATGAATATTTATTATCTTAAACCAATTCCTGGATGCTACATCTTATCATGAGTATTACCTGATTTTTAAATTTTTACCCCTTTGCAAGAAAAAAATATAGTCTCAGCTTCCTTTCTCCAATTCTTCTCATTCGTTATTTAATTTGCTCCTGCCTGGATTTTAATCTCAATATACCACTGAAATGCTCTTGTTTGATTCGCCAATGACTTCCATTTTGTCTGAGTCAGTGAGTGTTTCCTTGTATCCATCTAACTTCCCTGCTGGATATTACTTTCCTAAAATACTTTCCTTTCTTCTGAGTTTCTTCCTATCTCTGTGTCTAGTTATTTCCAGTGTCTTCGGCCTTTAACTTTTCTCTTCCAATCATCTAAATGGTGGTCCCCTTCAGGACTTGGCTCTGGGATCTTTCCTATCCTCTATTTATACCCTCTCCTAAAGCAATCTTATCCAATTCTAGGACTTTAAATACCACCTCCATTCTGGTATTTCTTGCCTTAATTTATATTCTGAAATTCAGACTCATACATCAAGTAATCATCTTACCGTTTCATTTTAAAAGTTGTCACCAAAAGTTGTCATGTTCACATTAAGAAGTCTTGATTAAACCAATCAAAATAAAGCAAAATAAAACATCCCCTGTGCTTTCTTGTTCATCTTCTTTTCAGCAATATAATCACCAATCCCAAGCTTCGAAACTTACATCCTTTACTTAGTTTGTCTACCACATCCAATTCATGCCTCAGTCATCTTGTTTTTCTTATAAAATGTGACTCAAATAAATCTATTTCCCTCTATTTCTATTCTACCTTCCTAGGCTATGTCACCCTCATCTTTTGCTTGAAATACCAGCATCCTCAGGGTCTTCCTTACTTCCCCTGTGACTCCTTAATCTATTCCTTTCAAAGCAACAAGAGTGGTCTTTAATTTAGCTGCTTTTAATAGCCTCCTTAAGTTTCCATTAGACATGTAAAATTCATACTCCTGTAGGTTCAGTATAACCTCTTCTTTTCCTGTTTCTCCAAATTCATTATGTTATGTTTTCTCTGCGACTTGTTATGCTATACTCACACTTTCTTCCTTTTTATTCTTGCAAATGTCAAGCCTTTTCCTTTCTTTAGGTATGCGCACTTGTGTGCTCTGCTAGCAATAATTGCTATTCTTCACACAGCTGGCTCCTTTTCTTCAAGGCTCTGAACAAATTTCAGTTCTACAAGAGCATTTCCTGGCTATCCTGTCTCATGTTGCCCCTCCAATTAACCTGACCCAGTATGAACATATGTGTTTATTTACATCTTTGTTTATTTATTTTATTATATTAAATTAGAAACCTATAGAGTAAGAGACTTTATATGACTTGTTTGATGCCAAATTACCAGCAACAAGGACTATGTGTAGAACATAGCATAAAATACACGCTTCTTTCCTTGAGTAAAAGAAAAATAAATCAGAACATTTTTCTTTCAGGTGTCTTTATGCAGCTTTAGCTAGCTTTCTTGAAAATTCTGATTAGGACACCATGTCTTGGTGTTGCAGCATAATGTGTAGGCTAGCATATCGAAATCCTACACAGTCCATGAATATGGTTCAATGTAAAGAACATCTGACACTGAACACATTCAAAAAATAAGAATAATAGAGGGCAACTACTGAGTCTCAGGGCAGAAAATGAGAATGTAGAAACAGCATAACCTATCTATTAACACTTCTATCTTGGTCCTAGGCAGGGCTCTCAGAAGCTCTATTTCCCACAGTATAGGAAAAATTGTCATGAATGTGATGTAATAATAATGTTCCTCATAGAAAATGTTTTAACTGCTGCTGAGATCCCTTAAATTAGTTGTGATTAAAGTCTCTTAAAAACAAGTAACAGGCTGGGCTCGGTGGCTCAGCCTGTCATCCCAGCACTTTGGGAGGCCGAGGCCAGTGGCCTGCCTTATGATTTTCAGTTTTAGACCTTTTCTGTCAACCTCCTCCTATGGAAAATGAGGATTTTGCTCTCTTTCACCCCATACCCCAGTTGTGCATTCATGCCCTTCTTGTCCACTTTCCCCCACCATTTTCCTTTCCCAATAGAATTTTACTGAGCCGGGTACAGTGGTTCATGCCTGTAATTCCAGCACTTTGAGAAGCAGAGGCAAGAGGATTGCCTGAGTCCATGGGTTCGAGACCAGCCCAGGCAATTGGCAAGACCGCGTCTCTATAATAAATAAAACATTAGTCGGGCTTAGTAGTGTGTGCCTGTAGTTCCGTTTACTTGGAAGGCTGAGGCAGAAGGATCACCTGAGCCAGCAGGTTGAGGCTGGGGTGACCGGGAGCGTGCCACTGCACTCTAGCCTGGGTGTCAGAGTGAGACTCCAACTCAAAAAAATCCCAAAAAACCAAGTAACAAATGAGATGCAGGGCATATTTATAAGTGTTTATAAAAGTATATTTTAAATTTATTTTTATCTCCCCACATTCATTTTCATAAGATCTGACCATACCTGGCTGGCCCACAGCTGGTTGTAAATTAGCAGAGTCTTAGCACTCATTGGTTTTAGCTCCCAGAAGGCAGATATTCCAGCCTGGTTTAGTCACTGCTGTATCTCTTGATCCTTGAACATATGCCCAATGCCTGGAATATTATAGGTACTTAACAAATAATTATTGAATATATTCTTTCTTTACTCCTCAGGCTGCTGAAAAGATATAATGACAACATACTGAGTATCTTGTATGGATGTTGTGATTGTTGAACAGTTGAAAATCCAAGTTTTGTTCCATACAGCATGCCTTTTCTCTCATCTAGTCCTTTGGTGGCCACGCAAACGTGAATGCAGATTTTCTTATATTGGGAAAAATAATTAGCAATTATAAACAAGCCCAAACTTTAAAACAAGGAAGAGTTTATTTTGGCATCCTCAATAAAATAGAGAAAGCACCATCTTGTATCTTGGGGAACTTACAATAGCACAGGTTTGATTTTGTAGCCTTTGGGATTCTTGAACTAGCTACTGTCAATCTTTGTTATTCCTTTTTCTTTTCTTCCCCCCCTTGCAGGATTTCCTCTGGGCTCCACCGTGACTTCTGAAACTAAGGGCATCTGGATGTGGTGTATGCCCCACCCCTCCAAGCCAAACCACACTCTGGTCCTTCTGGACACTGAGGGCCTTGGCAATGTGGAAAAGGCAAGGCAGAGGGTCTCAGGCAAATTATTTCGATTCTAGATTTTTCCCTAGTTTTCCCCAAACCTTTGTAATTTTACTGCTGTGATCTATACCTGAAATTCTGAAAATCAGCTATGTGGAATGAGGCTTTCTTTAGTCTGAAACTCATATCACATAATGTGCTATTTTAAGATAAAAATCTTCATTTTTTCTTTTTCCATTCATTTTCATGAATGGAAGTGAATAATTCCATTCATTTTTATAAACCCTTAGTGAGAAACTGATTTACAGGGTTTGTGATCAAGTACTCTAGATATTACTGAACATGGTAAAAGCTCTGCCCTCAAAAGAACTTCAGTCCAGTTGAGGAGACCACAGGTGTGCCATTTGATATGTGATTTGTACTTTGATGTGCATAAACAAGGTGAGTTTCCTGGAAAACAGACTCCAAGGCAGAGAAAACAGAAAGAAAGTTTACTAATGTGGGTTTTAAGTTGTCTTTATATTGCAATAAAATGAATGATCTCTTTCTCTGTGTCTATTTTACTATCTCTCCTCCCTTCTCTTCCTTCCTTCTTACTTGAAAATTATATTGGAAACAGTATCCACATTTCTGTTGTTCTCCATTTTTGCCTAAGGGTAAGTAGAAATTCTGTCCATACTTATAAAACAACATATCAAACAGGTATATAATCTTGGTATCAAAATCTATTATAATTTTTTCTAAATCCAGATTCTTCTTTTCTTAGTTGCTTACTTTTTATTTAATATATTTTTTACTTTACTTCATTATAAAGACGTGGGTTACAAGTCAGGATTAGGTACATAAGTAGTCTACGTGCATGTGACGTTTGGGTCTCCAACTGGTTCTCACTTCCCCTGGTTTAGGTCCAGGTACTCTTAGTGATGTTACATACCACTCCTTCCCCTGGTAGTGTCTCACTACTGCTGATTCCCTCTCCTGTAGTATTGTGATTTCAAAGTTTGCATTGTCTCAAGAGTTACCAGATATGTGAAATTTGACACACTGTGTATGCTACTAGTTGCTGGCTTCTGTGATACTTTAGGCAATGCAAAGACAATTTTGCTTGTTCTCCAGATTCTTCCTCTTTCTGCAGTGGAGCTTGGTTTCAAGCCTTGTCACATTCACCCACGTTCTGCTCTGTACCAGGCAGACCTAACAATTTTATACTTCTTACGTTCTAATGGTCATTTTGCTTCTGCAGGTCTTTCTTCTTGCCTGATTTTTGCATTCCTTCAAGTCCACATTCTATAGATATTTTTTGTTAATTTTGTGATTTTAAAGATGTGGGACACAATTCAGAATTAGGTATACCTGTCATCATCGTACAGGTAAAGTTTGGGACTGTCTTTGGTCCCCACTTAATTGAGATCAGGTACTCTTATTGATGTTATGTGCCACCCCCTGCCCCCCGCGACTTCTCCTGGCAGTGTCCTACTACTACTAATCCCTTTCTTACTGTTTTGTGGGAAATGTTCAGGGTCCGCTTATGAGTGAGAGTGTGTGGTACTCAGTTCTTTGATTCTGTGATAGATCACTGAGTATAGTAGACTCTAAATCCATTCAAGTTGCTGCAAAATCCATAATTTTTTTCTTCTTTATGGGCACAAGTTACAAATCTTTAAACAACTGCCACAGAATTTTCAGGAAGGTTTGTATATTGTGCACACATTCTCCCTCTAACTCCAAAAGCTTTTGTTCTACTTTGACAGACTTATATGCAATATAATGGCTATTGATTTGGCTGTTTAGATCCATTGCTAATACATAAACTTTTGTATATAGTATAATCTAGGATTTTTTTAAGGCATTTTGTAAATACCATGAGGTAGTTATCGCGAGTCTAAAAGTTGTCATATTTATCTGTGCTCCCCATAAGAATACAAGGTATCTAACATTTTTAGTAGCCTGTAGACATTTAATTTAATTATGTGTATTTAATTTGGTTTCTTAATTCTCTTTTTGTTAAATGAACATCTGTTGTCACTTATTGTTGAACAACTAATTTTTATTGGGCATTCTTCTTATTATTTATACACATATTATCTTATTTCATCCCATTTAGAAACAAGGGTCCTTTCAGAAAAATATTCTTAGAATCCTTTCATAGGTGGGGAAATGGAGGTCACAAGAGAAGTCAATGTAATTGCCAAAGCTAAAATTTATCTATGTTTCTATTTCCAAGGTTCTGTCTTTGTACTAACTCTGTGCTATCTGAAGTATCAAATGACAAGTGGTTGAACAAATAAATGGGTAATTTTCTGATAACAAAATTTCTAAGTGTTTGTTTCAATATATTTTCTAGAGTGATCCTAAGAATGATTCATGGATCTTTGCACTGGCTCTGCTTCTGAGCAGCACTTTAGTCTACAACAGCATGAGCACCATCAACAATGATTCCTTGGAGAAGCTGCAGTATCCTTTCTATTTTTATTGAGAAATGGACAGGAATGGAGACTGATTTCTCTGTGACTGAGTAACCTTTGGTGTAACTGAGAGACCCAGGACAAAGGACTGTTTATAACCATTTTAATAAGGGAAATGTGAGAGTTGTGAGTAGGAAACTCGTTTTCCTTAGCCAAGTTGGAGATATGTGACAGAGCTCACGGAACTAATCAGGGCAAAGTCCTCCACAAGACCTGATAGAATGGAAGATTCTACAGAGTTTGTGAGTTTCTTTCCAGACTTTATCTGGATTGTACGGGATTTCACCCTGGAGCTGAAGTTGAATGGTCGCCTTATTACTGAAGATGAGTACTTAGAGAATGCTTTGAAGCTGATTCCAGGTATCAGTGCATGGCCTGAGTAGTTAAGCTCATCCAGGAAGAGTAGGGTCTACTAAAGAGCGACACTATCCAAAAGCAAGTTGCATTTCAGGTCATTTGTACCTCAGCATCTAGATTACGATGGTGCTATTACTTTACAATAATATGACATTTGTGTTTCTTACTGTGCTTCTTCCTTTTTCTGTTGAAAAACAACAAACTTGATAATTATTAAATATCTTGTTCTTCTGAAGTAGGGCTACAACTTTCCAGTGCTTGGGTAGGTATATCTTCTACAAAAAATGACTTTACACATTAAGTAGACCTGCATATTCAATTTCAATCTATACTTTGAAAACATTTGTGATAACTACTAGATTCTTCTTTTTCCTTTCCTGCTCTTGATATCCTCTTTATTCTAACATATTTATTTATAATGTCACCATAGTAAGTTAATATGTTATTTTAATGAGTTACTATTAAGTGGCTGAGGATCTGATAAAACCCTCAGTTAGGTAGTGTTGAATCTTCAAATTAAATTTATGTGATGTCTAGTCTTCAGAGTTTCTACCAAATCAATAGCTAATTCTGTTTATAGTGTGGAGATCTTAATATTATCAATCAAGTTTTTCTTAACTAAACAAATTGTCATCTGCCCTAGTTAATTATTGCTCCATTATCCTTTCTAGTTCCTCTTTATGTCAGTCCCACTGTTGCGTTTCAACATGGGTGGAAATAGACCAGAAATTTAGATTTGACCATTCACCATGAAATCACTCATTCAATAAACATCAATTAACCAGGAATTCTGCCTGTTTCTGTGAATAATAAACATTAATATTTTTGCCTGGGTAGATATTCCCTATATTTATCTCTAGAGATATATCATTAGTATGAGCTTTGTTAGTAATGTGTTAAATGAATGCATTAAAATTCTATGGGCATAGAAAATGTCAAAGATAAAAAGAATACCTTTTAGCTGCCTTGTCCCCAAATTGTGCTTACAGTAACTCTGGTTTATCTCTTCATCAGGTGACAATCCCAAAGCTAAAAACTCTAATAAGATCAGAGCATCTATCAGACATTTCTTTCCACAACGAAAGTGTTTTGTCTTTGATCGACCAAAATATGAAAAGGATTTTCTGGCTAATATTGAGGATATTTTAGATAACCAACTGGATCTTAAATTCCAGGAACAATCAAATAATTTCTGTTCTTACATCTTCACCCATGCAAGAACCAAGACCCTTATGGAAGAAGTTAAGATCACTGGAAATCGTGAGTCTCCTTTTCCAAAATCCTATTTCTGTGTAAACAAATATATACTGAATATTTAATTATAATGTTCTTAAGTAAGTTTTGTTCATTCTATATAGAAGCATGCTTTAATAAACATCTATACTTCAAAGAGAAATGCATTTTTTTTAGTAATTATCTCCCATTATGATGTTTATAAATCCCTTTCCAAAATCTGAACATTGCCACTGGGATCTGGGGCTCCCACATATATGAAGAACACAATCGTTGATGATAAGAATCACTAAGTGGGTGCAAAAACAGAATACAGTGCTGTCTCAGGGGAGACCCTATAAAGCAGTGGTTTTCTCCAAAGATACTACTTGGAATTTTAAAACAATACAAAATAAATATTAGCTTTATGGATTTTTGAAAACCCATTGAAAGCTTAAGAATTAAGAATAAGTATTATGTGATTTTTAAAAATTTTAAAGGTGTGGGGTACAAATCAGGATACATAAGTGGTCTGGGGCTGAAGTTGAATGGTCGACTTATTACAAAGATGAATACTTTGAATCTGATTCCAGCTATCAGAGCAAGGCCTGAGTAGTGGGTGGTTCAGCAGAGAGCAGGGTCTGCTAAACATTGTTCATCATCTCTGGGGTTGCACTTATATTTGAAACCAGACAGAGTCCACAGTAATAGTTACTGGGACCTAGGGAATATTAATTCTCAAAAAGTCTGGTGACTAGAGTTAAGCTCATCCAGGAAGAGTAGTGTCTACTAAAGAGTGACATTATTCAAAAACAAGTTGCATTTCAGATCATTTGTATCTTCCATTGGACCTCATTTCACCTGGATTAGGATCAGGCACACTTATTGATGTTATATGCCCTCTCCTTCCATCTCCTGGCGGTGTTCCACTACTGCCAATCCCTTTTCTGTAGTATTATGGGTCAACTTATAAGTGAGAACATGTTCTAAGATCTTTGTTTTTGTGATAAGTCACTGAGTATTATAGACTCCAAATCCATCCAAGCTGCTGCAAAGTTCATCATTTTTTCCTTTTTGGTGGCTGTGTAATATTCCATAGTGTATATGTACCCATTTTTTAAAAATCCAGTTCAGTTTTGATAGGCAGCATGATTGGTTCCATGCTTTTTTCCTACTGTTAATAGTGCTACAATAAAAATGAATGCACAGCTATCTTTTTTTGTAGAATGATTTGATTTCCTCTGGGTATATTCCCAGAAGGAAAAATTGCTGGATTGTATGGAAGGTCAATTTCTAGTTCTTTTAGAAATTGCCACACTGTTTTCCATAGAGGCTGAACTCGTTTGCACTCCCACCAAGTATTCCCTTTTCTCCACATCCTCGCCATCATTGAGGATGTTTGCTGTTTGTTTTATTAATGATAACCATTCTTACTGGAGTTAGGTGACATCTCATTGCAGTTTTGATTTGCATTTCTCTGATGATGAATGAGGCTGAGCATTTTTTCATATGTCTATTGGCTGCTTATATATCTTCTTTTGAGAAGTGTCTATTCATGTCTTTTGCCCATTTTTTAAAAAATGGGGCTGTTAGTTTTTTTCATTTTGGTACTTTTGAGTTTCTTGTGGATCCTAGATGTTAGGTCTTTGTCAGATATACAGTTGGCAAATGTCTTTTCCCATTCTGTGGGTGTCTCACCTCTCTCTTGATGGTTTCTTTTGCTTTACAGAAGCATTTCAGTTTGATAAGGTCCCACTTGTCTATCATATCTCTTATGGCATGGGTATCTGGGGTTTTGATCAGGAATTGGTTTCCTATACCAATTTCTGTAAGGGTATCTACTGCATTTTCTAAGATTCTTATAATCAGGTTTTACATTTAAGTCTTTGATCCATTTGAAGTAGATTTTTGTGTATGATGACAAGGAGTCCTGTTTTGTTCTTAAGCATGTAGTCAGCCCATTTTCCCAGCACTATTTACTAAATAGCTTCTCCTATTCTTACTGGTTGTTACTGGAGACTTTGTCAAAGATGAGTTGGTTGAGAAATTGAGGTTTTTCTTCTGAAATCTTTATTCTGTTCCATTGGTCTATATGCCTGTTCTTATACCAATACCAGGCTGTTTTGATTATTGTAGCCTTATAGTAAAGTGTAAAGTCTGGAAATGGTGATTCCTCCTGCTTTGTTTCTTTTGCGAAGGATTGTTTTGGCTATTTATGGTCATTTTTATTTCTGCATGAATTTTGTATGCTGTTTCCAGGTCTGAGACAAATGATGATGGTAATTTAGTGGCTGTTGGATTGAATCTGTAGATTGCCTTTGGTAGGATGGACATCGCAACAATGTTGATTCTTCCAATTCATGAGCATGGAATTTTTTTTCATTTGTTTGTGTCTTCTTTGATTCTTTGAGCAGTATATTGTAATCTAATTTTTTTTTTTTTTGTAAAAGGCATTCACTTCTCTGGTTAGAAAAATGCCAAGATATTTCTTTTTGTTTTTGTTTTTGTGTGGCTATTGCGAATGGGATCATACATCTTATTTGATTCTCTGCTTTTTAGTTGTTGGCATATAAAAATGTGATTGTCTTTTGCATGTTGATTTCATAACCCGAGACTTTGCCAAAGTCCTTTATCAGTGCAAGGAAGTTTTTAGCAGATTCTCTTGGGTTTCCCAAATATAGGATCATATTTTCCACAAAAAGGGATTGTTTAAGTTCCTCTTTTGCTTTTTGAATACCCCTGATATCCTTCTTTTGTCTGATTGCTCTAGCTAGGACTTCCAACACTATGTTGAACAGGAGGGGTGAGAGTTGACAGCCTTGTCTTGTTCCAGTTTTCAAGGGAAAGGCTTCTAATTTCTGTCCATTTAGTAACATGTAGACTGTGGGTTTATCATAGATAGCTTTTGCTATTTTGAGATATGTGCCTTCTATACCTAGGGTTTTTATCAAGAATGAGTGCTGGATTTTGTCAAAAACATTTTGTGTATCTAATGATATAATCATGTGGTTCTTGTTTTTACATCTATTGATGTATTTAATTACATGTGTGGTCTTGTGGATGTTGAACAAGCTCTGCATCCTAGGGATGAAACCTACCTGGTCATGGTGGTTGTTTTTTGAGAAGTGTTGTTGGATCTGATTTGACAAAATCTTGTTGAGAACTTCTACATCTATGTTCATCAGGGATATTGGCCTATAATTCTCTTTCTTTGTTGGATCTTTATCCTGTTTGGGTATCAGTGTGATTTATTAGCTTCATAAAATGATTTGGGGAGAGTTTGTCTGTCTCAATTGCCTGGAATACTTTCAATAGGATCAGTATCAGCTCCTTGTTATACGTTTTGTAGAATTCTACTGAAAAGCCATCTCGTCCAGGACTTTTTTTTTAGATAGTTTTCTTATGATGGAGTCAATTCCTTGGATTGTTATTTGTCTATTTAGATTCTCTACTTTTTGTTTCAACCTTGGAAAATGTCAGAATGTTCTCCATTTCGTTTAGGTTTTCAAATTTGTTTCCACACAGGTGTGTATAGTAACCTCTGATAATCTTTTGTATTTCTTTGAGGTTTGTTGTGATTTGATCTTTTTTGCCTCTGATTGTGGCTATTTGCTCTTTGTCTCTTTTTCTTGGTCAGTCTGTCAAGGGGTACTTCAATCTTGTTTATCTTTTCAAAGAATCAACTTTTTGTATTGTTGATTTCTTTTTTCTGTGACATTTTTGTCTTCTATTTCATGTTTTGGGGCTTTTACTTTGGTGATCTGGATTCTTCTGTTGAAGTTAGGGTTTTGGTGGTCCTGCCATTCCAGCTCCCTCAGGTGATTTGTTAGGCTGTTAACTTGTGATCTTTCTATTTTCTTGAAGAATGTTCATAAAGATGAACATGCCCCTGTTAGTACTGTTTTCATGACATCCCAGAGGTTTTAGTAAGTTGTATCTTTGTTTTCATTTGTTTCCAAGAATCTTTTAATTTCTGTTTTGATTTTTGTTCGACCCAAGAGTAGTTCAGGATTGTGTTGTTTAGTGTCCATGTCTTTGTGTGTTTAGGGGGAATTTTTTTCTCTTTTAATTTTTTTGTTTAAAGATGTGTGGTACAATTCAGGGTTAGGTATACAAATGTTCATTATGCAGGTACCCTTGTTGATAAGGTGTGCACCCCATCCCCTGGCATATTCCCACTACTGCCAATCCTGCCTCCCCTCCTCCTACCCCAGCCGTTTTCCACTACTGCCATTTCTTTTCTTATAGTATTATGATAATTGTTCAAAGTTTGCTTATGAGTGAGAACATGTGATACTCAGTTCTTTGTTTCTGTGATACATCACTCAGTATTATAGACTCTAAGTGGGGGACTTTTGTTGGTGACAATATTGATTTTTATTCCACTGTGGTCTGAATGGGTGCATGGCAGTATTTTGATCCTAAGAAATTTGTTTATGCTTGATTTATGGCAAAGGATGTGGTCAATCTTGGAGTATGTCCCATGTGATGATGTGTAGAATGTATATTCTGGTGTTGTTGGGTGGAGTGTTCTGTAGGTATCTATTAAGTCCACTTTGTCAAGCATCAAGTTAAGGTTCTGAATCTCCTTATTAATTTTTTGCTTCAATGATCTATGTAGGGTTGTTAAAGGCATATTTAAGTCCCCAATTATGATAGCATTAGAATCAATACGCTGTTTTATTTTACTTAGTAGTTGCTTTATAAATTATGGTGCTACTGTGTTGGGTGCATATATATTTAGGATGGATATTTCTTATTCATGGATGAATCTTTCATCATTATGCAATGTCCTTGTGTATCTTTTTTAAATTTTTGATAACTTGAAGGTTGTTTTGTATGATACTGAAATTGTGAGTCTTGCCTTTTGTTTTCTGTTCTCCTGAAAGTTTGTTTACCATCCTTTAACTTTGAGTCTTTGGGTGTCCTTTGTTATGAGATGTGTTTCCTGGAGGCAACATATTGTGGGGTCATACTTTTCTTTAAATCCAGTTTGCCATTCAGTGTCTTTTCAGTGGTGCATGTAGTTCTTTCATGCTCAGGTTGCATGTAGTTCTTTCATCCTTAGGTTCAAAATGTGAGAATTTATCCCTATCATAAGTATCTTATAAAGTTTTTTTCCTCTTTTCCTATTTGAAAACCTCTGATTGCCTCCTCTTATCTGATTGCTCTAGCCAGGACTTCCAATACTATGTTGAACAGGAGGGGAGAGAGTGGGCATCTTTGTCTAATTCCAGTTTTCAGGGGAATTGGTTCCAATTTTTGTCCATTTAGGAGTATGCTGGCTGTGGGTTTTTCATAGATGGTTCTTACTATTTTGAGGTATGTTCCCCATATGCCTAGGTGTTCAAGGGTTTTTATCAAAAAGGGGTGCTGGATTTTATCAAAAGCTTTTTCTGCATCTAGTGATATGATCATGTGGTTTTTGTTTTGACATCTGTTGATGTATTTAATTACATTTATGGTTTCAAGTTATCTCTCTATGCAGATGATATGATGGTGTACCTTGAAAACCCAAGAGAATCTGTCAAAGGCCTCCTTACATTGATAAAAGCCTTTGGCAAAGTCTCAGGATACAAAATAAATGTACAAAAGACAATCGCATTTCTCTACACCAATAATAAACAAACAGAAACCCAAATAAAAAACACAATTCCATTCACAATAGCCACAAAAAAATGAAATACCTTGGCATCTTCCTAACCAGAGACGTGAAAGACCTTTACAATGAAAATTACAAAACACTGCTCAAAGAAATCAAAG